TGCGGATCTCAGGGTGGAAGGGCAAAGAGTTTGACGTGCCCTGGCACGCAGTGGAATCGACACCTTGATCAGGAACTGTCTTTGATCCCAACTTCAAAACAAGTAAGCCTGCTCCCTTCGCCTTTGTTGGAAACCTGTTTGCCATTGCACGTCGATCGGAAATTAGGTGCTCTATTCTGGTAACCACAACATATTCCGGACAGTGGGCTTTATCACAGTGATGGTGGCTGTGACTCTTTTGCACTGAGCCTGAGCTAACAACTTGTCTGAGTTGTTGGACCTAGCATTGGGCAAATACATGCACATCGATCGATAGTCCGTGTTTGAGCTAGAGGTCTATATTTTTGGCTTGGGGGTTGGGCAAACTATATGGTACCCAAGTGCAGTTTTTACACAAGAAGCCTGTCCATTTCAAGTGAGCTGAGTGCGTGGAGTGACTGAGATTTGGAACACCCGACCTGGCGGAGTTTTGGTGTTCGCTCCACCATGTTCGACGTGGGTATTTTTGTCATCATCGGTGACACGCAGATGTTGGTCCCTCCCAGAAGGTGATCCTGCGGTCCAATGCGTATTCTTGGCCAACATTTTTGTCCGACGGATGATTTACTTGTGCTTCGCTTGATGTTTTGGAATGTTTAGGACAGTGTGCATGCATGTTTGAATCGTTTATTATCCGGTAAATGCATGCAGGCACACATAATCATGTATGTATGTATCGATGGCTGGCGAGGTTGTTCTTCGCCGTGAAGCGGGGAGTGAGGATACTGGTGGAGCAGCCCCAATCTTCTGCCACTTGAAAGCACAAATTTGCCGGAACTGGCTTCCAACGCAAACTGTGTCGATGTGTTCATAGACACAAGCTAGCCAAGAAAAGCCACCAGACCTTCATATAACAACTTTAACGGCCACGTTTAGGAATGTTTATAAGTGGAAAAAGGGCACCACCAAAAAATGGGCTCGTTTGGGCAGGTGATGTGGCTGTGGCCTCCGATGAGACGCTTTCTCTTGTGGGCGAAGTGCACGAGACTTGGATGCATCATGTATGGATAGTCCACAGCTTCAGCTTTGGGGTGATTGGCTGCCAGCCAGGATTCAACTCAACCAGTTGGAAAGACAATCCTTCGTTGCATCCCAATCTCTGCTTGCCAGGAGAGTTGCATTTCCTATGGGAGCCTATGGAGCGCCCACAATCAAACCAACAGTGTGACTTGGCATGCCAGCTTTTGAACTGATTTTGACAAACCAACCACACCCTCTCACTCTCCTCGACTCGTCATCATCGGAAACTTCCTACAATCCTCCCTGGACCAAACTCACAGTACAACCCCTCACTGGGTTACAGAACCGCTTTGAGTGCATGCTCCCACTCACATAACTTCCCAGCCCCAATCAGGTTGCCCTTCACCCACGCTCTGCCCCCAAGGCTTTGGGGGAACCTCGACAACTTGCACACCTTGAAGCGGCCAGTGAACATCAAGATGTTGAAGCAAACCTTGGCGGATTGGTTGAGCCAGTGTGTGTAAACCAAAGCACCCTTAAGCGACAAAGACCTCGATAGTAAACAGAGTTAATTGTGATCTTTACATTGGGACCTTTGTAACAAGGGTAACAACTGATCACATGTGGGACCTCTGTGGCCTGGATACTTTACATGGACACCATCGCAAAGCAAGGTCGACGTCCGTTTTTTTACATGGATCCATACATCACGAAAGCTAGCCTTAGCTAGCTGGAGTTGCTCTTGCTTTAGCAAGTTAAGTGACGGGGTGGACGCACCTCAGAAACCTCAAATAATTGATTAAATCAATCTTATGGACCCCCCCCCCCCCCCGCGGTTCGACTCCCCCCTGCGCGCGGTGAGCGGGACCACCAAGCAGCTGCAGCACACCAAGCATCTGCAGCGCCCAGCGCAGCAGCGGCAGCAGCGGCAGCAGCAGCAGCACCAGCAGCAGCAGCAGACCACCCAGCGGCGGCAGCAGCAGCGGCAGCAGCATACCCAACGCCGCGGCAGCAGCAGCCGCAGCAGACCACCCAGCGCCAGCAGCAGCAGCAGCAGCAGCAGACGACCCGGCGCCTGCAGAGCAGCAGCAGCACCAGCAGCAGCAGCACCAGCAGCAGACCACCGGAAGCCCGGCTAGCTTTCGTTCACCCCCTCTGGCCTCAAGTTTTTGGACACTTTAGTGACATCAAGGCTCTACATGGACCTTCATGTTCCAAGAATTTGCAATAGGTGTCTGTGGCCTGGATACTTTACATGGACACCATCGCAAAGCAAGGGACGTCCGTTTTGTTTTTGGATCCATACATCTTTGGACACTTTAGTGACATCAAGGCTCTACACTGGACCCTTCATGTGCCAAGAACGTGCAATAGGTGTCTGTGGCTTGGATATTTTACATGGACACCATCGCAAAGCAAGGGACGTCCGTTTTGTATGCTTTAGTGACATCAAGGCTCTACACTGGACCCTTCATGTTCCAAGAACTTGCAATAGGTTGCCTTTGTATTCAACCACTTGTCTGTTTCTGCCCCCAGGATCCATGGCCAGCAGAAGCTTACACACATTGGGGTTACAAAGAACGGGACAAAGACAGTGACTGGAAACTCTAGCAAGCTGAAGAAGTCAGCTGCTTACACCATCGAGTTTGGTTTGGCCATAGCGAACCTTATCACACCTGGTGGGGACCCTGACCCTTCGCCGGAGTCTAGACTGCATATCAGGGAGGTTCATGAAATTGTCGGTACTTCGGAGCATTGAAGTGGGACTGGAGGTAAAACATCGTAGATCGCCAGCTCAGGAAGTCACCATCACGGAGTCAGATCCCGAATCTTCAGATGAGGGCTGCATCGACGATTTGATCCGGGGGAATGCTGACTGGAAGAAATCCAGTCGTACTAAATAGGGTCTTTTCACGCCAGCCCAAAGCCACAAGTCACTACACATGCACAGATCGCCATCCTGGTTGCTTAAAGTAAACTGCCAATTAGCATAATTAGCCCAGTAGGGATCTTTGGTGGGTGTGCTGATTAGTTTCCTCCAATGGGTGGCCAGTAGTCCGTATGGTATGTGTTGGTGGTTTGTCGACTGTGATTTGTGTGGTTATGGCTTTTGTTCCCGAAGCAACTGGAACAATTAATTAACACCCTAGGGTGGGTGTACTCCTCCCACCACCTTGACTAAGTCACTTGGCTGGAGATCACCACGATCACACGTGTGCCTGGACAGGTGTCACTTGTCATCTTTTTTGTTGATATCGAGGGTTCACATTTCATGAGAGATGGGGGATCAAAAATGGTAATATGATAGATATCGAGGCGAGTTGAATATCGAAATCAGTATATCGATACCGGGTTGCTCCCCCTTTCCTAGATTCACACGACTCGATGAATTTGAAAAAACGGTGCGTGTCAGTGCGTGTCATTCGCGTGTCACCTGTGTCTAAGTGACCTCTTTAATTAGGTCACTTAGCAATATCGAAAGGTCACTTAAGCCTCCTAGCAGTCACTTAGAGGCCCTGGAGGTCACTTAGGATATCGAGAGCTCTGCGTGTCACTTGCGTGTCAGACTGGGGCTCAAATTGGCATTTTGCCAACCGGGTGTGTGTGCTCGCTCGTGCCTGGAGGACCTCGATATTTCTCGATATAGTTGAATCTTGTTGAAAATTATGGGATTCCGTTTTGGGGGCGCTTTACGATGCTAGAGTGATGAATACTGTTCCAAAAGCAAACCTCCTAATACCCAGCTCTACTTGTTTGACCCTATAGCGCTCCCAAAATGAAAGTGTAAGTTGAACTGTTTGGGAGTGGAAGTGGAACAAGAAAACACATCGCAGGACATATGGCGAAAACAAAGGCTGACGTGACATCAAAGAAAGGCGCTGAGACTCCGGTGCCTCAAGACACTGCTGAGGAACCAAAAACAACAAGTCGCAAGAAGGAGGATGCAGAGAAGAGCACAGAAAAGCAAGGCTGCAAGACCAATGAGAAGAAGGCAGACAAGAAGAAAGAGAAGACTGCAGAGAAAGCAGAAGGAAAGAAAAAGGATGACATGCAGGTTGAAGAAGGGGGTGAAGCAAAGAAGACAGATAAGAAGAAGACCGAAGAGAAACGAGAAGCCAACGAGGAGAAGAAGGAGAAGGCTTCAG